ATTTTTTTTTTTTTTTTTTTTTTTTTTTTTTTTTGCAGACAATTCCTGAGCAATTATGTGACGTAACTCGTGGTCGTTTTTCTTTGTTTTCTTCTTGTTATTCATCTTCTTCTCCTTTTTCTTCTTCTTCTTCTTCTTCTTCTTCCTCCTCCTCCTCCTCTTCCTCCTCTTCTTCTTCTTCTTCCTCCTCTTCCTCCTCCGCCCCTTCTTCTTCTTCTTCTTCCTCCTCTGTTGTACCTACACCTAATAATAATACTACTAATAAAATAAATAATAATAATAATAATAATAATAAAATAAATAATAATAATAATAATAATAATAATAAGAATAAAATAATAAATAGTATAAATTTACGAGGAGATATATGTTTATTACAACTATTATCTTTTTGGTTCCTTCCTCCTCCTTCCCTTCGTCCTTCTATTGCTGGGGTGTATATACACCATAAAAATAATACAGGTGTATGCTTCTGTCATCATAATACTGTTGATTTATGTTTTATTTGCTCATGTTGTCTTGCTAGTAAGTCTAATTAGGGTTTAGGGTTTAGGGTTTAGGGTCTAGGGTCTAGGGTTTAGGGTTTAGGGTGATATATCCAAAGGGTTTAGTGTTTAGAGTTATTCTTATTGCACAAAAATATATTTGTATTCTATACACAAGGGTTTAGGGTTTAGGGTTTAGGGTTTAGGGTTTGTGTTGCAGTCTATTGCTCGGAGACAACAGACAATGGCAAAGAAAGGATTAGTTGTGATGTTTGCAAGTATGTCTCTAAACCCTAAACCCTAAACCCTAAACCTTAGTACCAGTACCTATATATATAAAGAATATACGAGGGTTTAGGGTTTTCTAGGGTTTAGGGTTTAGGGTTTATGGTGTATATCTGCAGGTCTAGATTTGCCAAGGGTTTACTAAAGGCTAAGTTGGCTGCAACAGTAGATGCATCCAAGTACTAATTCGCTAAACCCTAAACCCTAAACCCTAAACCCTAGAGGTGTATATATATATATATATACACCTTACAGGGGAATTAAGAAAAAGGGGCCCCCTATTAATAACCAAAAAGTTTTGGGTAATTAGTAAGGGGGCCCCCAATAGGGTCCTTTAACTCAATTTGGGGGGGGCCCCCTGAGCTGGGGGCCCCCCTCCTCTTGGGGTCCCATCTTTTCTGTTTAATGGGGGCCCCCTTTCTTTAGCTGGGGCCCCCCGTTGTTTAATAAGGGGCCCATCTGTTTAATAGGGCCCCCCTATTTAGTTTAACAGGGGCCCCCCTCTATTTATTAGGGCCCCCCGCTTTAAGGGTAGGGCCCCCCCTTTTAAGGGTACTACTTGGGGGCCCCCTCGTTGGGTACAAAAGGGTTTTCCTTTATTCTCAACTGGGGGCCCCCCAAGGATTTTAAAGTATAGCTTTTTGTTAGCAGCAGCAGCAGCAGCAGCAGCAGCAGCAGCTGCATCTACAGCAGCAGCAGCGGAAGCAGCACCACTTTTTCGAGCAGCAGCAGCAGCAGCAGTGCCACAAACAGCAGCAGCATTATATAGAGCAGCAGAAGCAGCAGCAGCAGCAGCACTATTTCTTGTTGCAGCAACAGCAGCAGCAACGTTATATAAAGCAGCAAAAGCAACACTAGTATTATCTATAGCAGCAGAAGCAGCAGCAGCATTATCTACAGCAGCAGCAGCAGAAGCAGCACAATATAGAAGAGCAGCAGGCTCTGCAGCAGCAGCAGCAACAGCAGCAGATACAGCAGAAGCAATAGCAGCAGCAGCAACAGCTTGTGTAGTGTGCTGTTTAGTCCTAGCTGGCTAGCTGCAGCTAGCTGCAGCTAGCTGCAGCGGCAAGCTATAACAGCTAGCTGCTGCTGCTGCTGCTGCTGCAGCTAGATACAGCTACATATATCAGCTAGGGTTTATAGTACTATTATATAAAAAAAGGCAGAGTATGGGGGGCCCCTCTTGTCTTGGGGGCCCCCCTGCTGCGGTGTCTGTGCAGGTATACGAGGGTTTATAGAATAAAGGATAGATGTAGGGGTATTGTATGACACACATAAACCCTAAACACTAAACCCTAAACACTAAACCCTAGGGGCCCCCTATGAGGCCCCTGTTTAGCTGCTGCTGCTGCTGCTGCTGCTGCTGCTTCGTGGGGTAATAGGGGGCTAGGGTTGATGTTAATGAATAAATAAAGAATATAAATAATAAAAAGAATAAATAAAAAAGAAATAAATAAAAAGAAAAGAAGAAAAGAAATAGAAATAGAGCTGAGGTGTCTGTACACCCGGCGGCTGCGCCGACGATGAGAGCAGCACGGCACGAACAGAGAGGCTGCTGCTGTGTCACCTCTTAAACCCTAAACCCTAAACCCTAAACCCTAAACCCTAAACCCTAATTTCCCTTTTATAGGGATTCAGGAAACTCCATTTCTGCAGCGTCGCCCTTGCAGGACTCAAATTCATGCCAGCGATCGGCCAAACCCTAAACCCTAAACCCTAAACCCTAAACC